TCTTCCCATTGTCACAACTTAAAAGCACCGATCGAAAGCTCATCTTCTCATCTCCACCTTGTGGAGGGAGGCTCCAAATAATGACATGTTGCACCTGGTGATACTCTTCATCACCTCCAACAAAACAGGAAAACTACATCAACATGTTCCTCGGCCAAATCCGCTTCGGGAGCTCCAGTACATTCAACACCTTCAAGAACCAACGGAGGGGGGCCAATCCTGGTATGGACCGGTGATCAGGAGGGAGCCAATTGTGTGTTTATATACGTGTTCCTTCTGCATTGCCAATCCGTTTGATCAAACCATGATTCAAAACAACTTGTCCTGCAATCAGAGAACACCATATCTCATATTTGGCAGGGCCACCCTCCCAGCTTTGCTTCCAAGACATCTGACTTCAGAAAATACATCCCCTTCAGAACATGCGAGCTGAGAGCTTGAGGATCCGGTACAACCCGCCACATTAGCTTTGCCAACAAAGCCAAATTGAAAATTTCAACATGGTGAAAGCCTAAGCCTCCCATGTATTTTGGCTTAGTCTTGGTGTCCCAAGTAATCCATGTCGTTTTCCCCTTGCCTGTTCTACTTACCGGAAAAGGCTTTCGCCCCGCTTTATAAATAAAGCAAACCGCCAGAGAGCGCATATACACGGACTAGTCCACACGCACACACCCAAGTCTCACATAAAAGTACATAGGTTCTGCTGAGGGCACAACTCAACAAGCCCAAAAAGAAAAAGAAAACAAGGCAGCCGCCTAAGGACAAGGAAGGTGCCTAGTCTGGCTCCGGCGGAGGCGGCGAGGGCGGCGGCGACAGGCGGACGACCATCGATCGGAGGTCGGCGATGAAGGCGAAGATGGCGTCGTGGTCCTGAGGGCCGCTAAGCGGCCGTCAAAGCTGCAAGAAACCAGAGAGTTTGAAGATTGCGTCAGTAGCTCGTCGAAGAGGGGTGCGCTGGATCACAAGCTTATTGCGGATCGTCCAGAGGGTCCAGGCTAGGACCCCAATCTCAAGTCACCTAATGTGGCGAGACGACAAGGAGGAGTTCTGGAGTTCGGCAAATAAGTCGGGGAAGTTGGTGTGGCACCAACCTCCACCAACCACTTCGCGAAAGCAGCTCCAAACGAACTGAGCGGACACGCATGAGAAGAAGATGTGATTCGAGTCTTCGGGGACACCGCAGAGGGGGCAGATGCCCGAGCCCGGGCCATTCCGTTTGCGGACCTCAACCCCGGGCGGAACCGACCGCGAATCCATTGCCACATGAAGATCCGGATTTTAAGAGGTAGGTGGATGGACCACACCGTTGAGAGGGGGAGGGGGGCGGAGGAGGGGGCGGTGGCCAGGTAGAGAGACTTGGTGGAGAACAGGCCAGAGGGCTCCAAGCACCAACGCACCTGGTCGGTACCATCGTCCACCCTAGGCTCGTGGAGGGCAACACAGTCCAGCAACTCGCGCCAAGCAGCAGATTCCGGGGGCCCAAATGGCCTCCGGAAGGCGAGGCGCCCTAAGTCAATAAGGGCCCTCTCGACAGAGATCACAGGGTCAACGACAATGGAGAAAAGGCCGGGAAAGCATGCCGCGAAGGGAGCGTCACCAGCCCAACGATCGAACCAGAACAAAGTCGACGCTCCAGAGCCGACCGAGATGGAAGTCCCGATGCGGAGAACCGGAAGGAGTTGGACGACCGACTGCCAGAACTGGGAGCCGCCAGTTCTCTGGCAGAAGGCAAGAGGTTGCCCGTGCAGGTATTTGTTCCGGATGATGTCGAGCCAAAGACCACCAAGGCCTTGCGAGATGCGCCAAAGCCATCGAGAGAGAAGGGCGATATTCATACGCTTAGAGCACATAATGCCCAGGCCGCCCTGCTCCATGGGCTTGCAAATGTCCGGCCAACTAACCATATGATACTTCTGCTTGTCATTCTCGCCAGCCCAGTAGAAGCGAGACTGGACTTTGGCAATCTCTTGGTGCAGGGTCTTGTGGAGGCTGTAGATGCTCATAAGGAACAAGAGGAGGCTGGAGAGGGAAGAGTTGATGAGAATAGTCCGGGCTGCCTTAGATAACCACCTCCCCTGCGAAGGCTCAATGCGCGTTTGGAGCTTGGCCACGATCGGGCGCAAGTCCACGACGGTGAGCCAGGAGTCACTAATGGGCGTACCCAAGTAGGTCGTGGGAAAGGAGCCCAGGCGGCAGTTAAGCCGGTTGGCAATGGCGAGACATTCGTCGGGAGGGTAGCCCATCACCATAACATCACTCTTGTCGAAATTAATCTTAAGGCTAGACATTTGTTGGAAGCAGAGGAGGAGGAACTTGAGTTTGGAGATGTCCACCTCCGAGCCTTCCACCATGATGATGGTGTTGTCGGCATATTGTAGGAGGGAAATCCCGGACCCTCCAGCGAGATGGGGGGTGATCCCATGAATATGGCCAGCCGCCTTCGCCTTATCCAGGATGGAGGCAAGGGCATCGACGACCATGTTGAACAGGAACGGGGAGAAGGGGTCGCCTTGTCTAACCCCACATAAGGTGGGGAAGAAAGGGCCGATCTCGCCGTTAATGTTAACAGTCGTGCGACCGCAGGAGACCATCTGCATAACTCTGGTGATCCAACGATCGTTGAAGCCCTTCCGGAGTAACACTTCCCAAAGGAAGGACCAACTAACAGTATCATAGGCCTTATGGAAATCAATCTTCAAGAAGACCGCCTTGAGGTGTTTGGCGCGGACCTCATGGAGTACTTCATGAAGGACAAGGACCCCATCTAGTATATACCGGCCCCGGATGAAGGCGGACTGGTTGGGGTAAGTAATGCGATCTGCAAGAAGGGTCACCCTATTGGCGTACCCTTTTGCAAGAATCTGGAAGATCACGTTGATAACCGTGATCGGGCGAAACTGGCGAATGTCGGACGCGCCAGGCACCTTGGGGATGAGGGAGATTATCCCAAAGTTTAGGCGACCGAGGTCAATGGACCCAACGTAGAACTCTTCGAAGATGGCCATGACCTCAGGTTTAATCACGTTCCAGAAGGTCTGGAAGAACTTAACCGGGAGGCCGTCAGGACCTGGCGCCGAGGTGGGGTTCATGCCCCTAATGACATCCCAAACCTCGCCTTCGGAGAAGGGGGCCATAAGGGCCACGTTCTTCGTGTCAGAGACCAGCTGAGGGCCAGTACAATAGTCAGGGGCCAGGGAGAGGCCGCTCCTAGGAGCGGCAGAGAACAAAGACCTATAGAACCCATCAACGTGGGTTCGGATGTCGCGCGGATCTTGAAGGAGGGTGGCACCGTCCCACAAGAGGGGGATGGTGTTGCGATGACGGAGGCCATTTGCGATCGTCTGAAAGTAAGCCGTGTTCGCGTCGCCCTTCAAAACCCACTTTTGGGCACCACGGATGCGCCAGTAGGTCTCTTCATCAGTGTAGATAATAGAGGGCTGATCTTCTAAGTCATAGCGGGAAAGCCTCTCATCGGGAGAGAGCCCCACAGCATCCGCATGTAGGTCGAGCACCTGAATAGCGGCTAACAGGGCCTTCTTACAACCGCAGAGGTCTCGACCCAAGTTAGCGCCCCATCCCTTCATGAACTGCCGGCCACGCTTGGCACAAAAGTGCCACGAATCAATGGCCGAGGGGGGACGGGGGTGAGTGTGAGCGCGGCCTCCACCCAGCGTGTGCCAATGACCTCCACGAACCCGGTTTGGGAAAGCCAGAAGGTCTCAAACCGGAATCGCGGGGTGATCGGCAGGC